GCTTTCATCTCTGTCACCTAATTTTTACACGAAAGCGGTAAAAATACTGCTAGTAGCCATACCAACATTTCGAAATGGGTTGATATGAATACCGGTGATAATAATGCTGAGAATATGAATCTGTATGGGGAGGCAATAAGTAATTCGTCTTCAACTGAATACAGTAGCTAACTTTCAATCACTCTTCAGTCCCAGAAGTTACTCAAATAAAGATAGGAGACACACTGCTCTGAGCCGGTAACAACTATCAGCTTTTTTATAAAAAAATTCACTATGCACAAATATCATCCAATTCGGAAAGTTAAACAAAATAATAACTTATGGCCGTTGCACAAAAGGTGGCTATAATGGCCAAAATGGTCTAATGGATAATGCTTTGGGGTTTGAAACGAAGGGTAGTGGGTTTGAGTCTCAGTGGCAACACCACCACTCACTGGAGATTGCAGGTACATCCAAATAACGAATATCAAACAGAACTAAATGCGCATCCCGGATTCCACTGCTACTCACGATCCACTGAATAACTTTCCAAATAGCAGCAGAATTCAAGGAATCCATCTTTAACCTCGCCTAGATTACTAGGTCACTAGTATTCTAGCCGGTCCCAAGCCCGGATAAAGAGGGAGGGTTGGGGCGTGGTGCTAGCAACTCTACCCCCAAAACTTAACCAGATTGCTACTAAAACTTCAACGCACAAATATATTCAAAATTCTAAAATTACAAATAGTGACCTTATTTTTCGCTGGAATCGGGGAAGTGAAATGACGCGGGCTGGTGAAAGCCTTCGGGAAGCCAGTCAGCCGATGTGCCTTCTTTCGATGAAAGCGAAATTAAGGATGGGGACGTGGAATGTTCGTACAATGTACGAAGCTGGGAAGGCTGCTCAGGTAGCCGCAGAAATGAGGAGATATAAAATAGAAGTGTCGGGAATCTGCGAGAGCAGATGGAACGGATGTGGAAGGAGCCAACTATCAACTGGAGAGACAATAATCTACTCCGGTCACCCAGAGGACGATCACGAGCACACCGAGGGAGTGGCCATCATGATGTCACCAACAGCGGCTAAAGCTCTCATGCAGTGGGAACCAATCTCCTCCAGGATAATGACAGCCAGGTTCAACTCAAAAGGAAAAAAGGTTACAATCATTCAATGCTACGCGCCTACAAGCGTCTCAGAACATGAGAAGAAGGAGGATTTCTACAGTCAACTACAAACAGTAATGGACAACGTCCCAAAGAGCGATATCAAAATCCTGATAAGTGATATAAATGCGAAGCTGGGAGGAGACAATACAGAAAGAGAACTCACCATGGGTCGTGAGGCCCTCGGTGAAATGAACGAAAATGGCGAACTCTTCTCAGACTTCTGCGCCTTCAATGATTTGGTGATTGGTGGCAGTGTGTTCAAACACAGGGATATACACAAGGCAACATGGATTTCACCAGATGGACACACCAAAAACCAGATAGACTTCATTTCAATCTCAAGGAAGTGGAGACGGAGCCTACTGGACACAAGATCGAGGAGAGGAGCAGATGTGGGTTCAGACCACTATCTGGTACAAGGGACTTTCAAGGTGAAGCTAAAAGCCTCGAGGATACCTGGGGACAGGCCACAATGCAAGTTCAACACTCAAAAACTGAAGGACACAACCACAAAGTACACTTCCACTGCGACTGGCAGAGCAAAGCAGGAAACACTACGTGGCACCACTGAGGAATCATCCGTCGAAGACCATTGGAACTCTGTGAAGGTAATTTTCAACTAAACGTGTTCAACGGTTTTGGGAAGAAAGAAGAAACAAGACAAGGAGTGGCTCTCAACAGACACTTGGAAACTAATAGAGGAGAGGAGAAAGGTGAAAGAAAAAATGATTCAATGCAAAGATGGACAAGAGAAAGAGACGCTGAACTCAACTTACACAGCACTGGACAAAGAAGTGAAGAAGAGTGCCAGGAAGGACAAAAGACAATTCTACGACAACCTGGCTACTGAAGCTGAGAAGGCAGCAGGCAAAAGGGACCTAAGGACACTATATCAGATAACCAAGTCTCTATCCGGGAAGAGATCAACACAAGTGAAACCTAGAAAAGACAGCCAAGGGAACCCAATTACCAAAGAAGAAAGACAGATTAAACAATGGGCGGACCACTTCAAAGGACTCTTGATTCGACCACCACCTACAACCCGTCCAGAAATACCGACAACAGCACGTACACAACTGCAAGTTGACACCAATCCTCCAACGAAAACTGAAGTCATGAATGCAATCAAGCTTCTGAAAGCTGGAAAAGCAGCTGGACCAGATGGAATACCCCCGGAAGCACTGAAAGCGGACCCAGAAACGACGGCAGATATGCTGACTCCATTATTGCAAAAGGTCTGGAAGGAGGGAAAGGTGCCTACTGACTGGAGGAAAGGTTACCTGGTGAAACTACCAAAGAAGGGCGACCTGGGACTCTGCAAGAACTGGCGAGGAATCATGCTCCTGTCGACGCCAAGTAAAATCCTGAGTCGCATCATCCTGGAGAGAATCAAGGACGCGCTGGATACAGAACTCCGACCAGAACAAGCTGGATTCAGGAAAGGCAAATCATGTTCTGACCAAATTGCAACTCTACGCATTATCATCGAACAAAGCATGGAATGGCAATCAAACCTCTACCTCAACTCCTTCATAGACTTTGAGAAGGCCTTCGACAGCGTTGACCGCGAAGTAATTTGGAAACTACTCGAGTACTACGGACTACCCCAAATATTCATCAACCTTATTCAACAACTGTACGACAACGGCACATGTCAAGTGATCCACAACGGAAAACTCAGCGAAGCGTTTGGAGTAAACACAGGAGTCAGACAAGGGTGCTTATTATCACCAATGATATTCCTAATTGTGGTGGACTGGATTATGCGTCAGACAGTGGGAAACGAGAAGACAGGGATATCCTGGACCGACGTGAAGAACCTAGAAGACCTGGATTTTGCGGATGATTTATGTTTGCTGTCACACAAAATCGAAGACTTACAAGCGAAAACCGACAAACTGGTCGAAGAAGCAGCCAGAGAAGACAGGACTCCAGGTGAACATAGACAAGACGGAGGTTATGAAAATAACCAACCAACAACAACAACAGCGGCAACATCCAGTGCCAATCACCATCAACGGGAGGGATTTGAAAGAGGTTACTTCATTCACTTATCTAGGGAGCATTGTCTCGACCACAGGAGGAACGGACGAGGATGTCAAATCGAGAATCGGGAAGGCGAGAAACACATTCATCAACTTGAAACCAATCTGGAAATCTTCGTCACTCACCATCAACAACAAAATTCGGATTTTCAATACAAACGTGAAGTCAATTTTGCTTTACGGATCAGAAACTTGGCGAGTCACCAAGAATATTTTCAACAGGCTGCAGACCTTCATCAACAACTGTCTTCGCTCCATACTGAAGATAAGATGGCCAGAAAGAATCACAAACAAGAAGCTATGGGAACAAACGAAACAGGAACCAATCGCCCAACAAATATGCAGGAGGAAGTGGAGATGGATTGGACACTCGCTGAGGAGGCCGTTGGGTGACATCGCACGTCAGGCCAACGCTCGAGTGGAACCCGAAAGGGAAGCGGCGAGTGGGACGTCCAAGGGTGACATGGAGGAGATCGTGTGAGGAGGAGATGAAACAGAATGGAATAACATGGACGCAAGTGAAAAGTACAGCACAAGACAGAAGCAAGTGGAGACGTGCAGTTGAAGCCCTATGTTCCACTAGGAACCCAAGGGAACAATAATATAATAATAATAATCTTTCTTTATTCGGATGTTACTATTGAAGCCTCCGTAGTAGAAGCCAGCTTGTCTATTGAAACACAAAATTTTGATGCAATCAATCAACGAGAAGAACAAAATCAACTTCAACTATTAACTAAGCAATTCAACCAGCTGATTAGGTCAGATGATCTAATCACGTTATATAAGAAATATTCCCTCACGACTTTACAGCTCAAATTTGTCCAGCTTAGTGAATCTGGTTTTGGCTGCTTTCAGATATTTTGGGTCTGTTTTAACTGGTTTTAAGGTCAGACAAAATCAAGATAAAATTAGAAATGGTTACAGGATTTCATCATGAGCTGACATTAGTTAGAGAACCATTGAATATCAATGAGATGCTCACTAGCGACTTGCCCTATTCAGGTAGGGGGCAGCAGGTCGTGTTTGAGGACAAATACTCGCCGAAGATATTGGCTAGCGGTTGCGCTATGTCGTGAATTAGCAGAAGTTAGAATTCACCCACTACTGGATCGGGGCCCAGTAGCTTAATGCTGACCGAGCTCGCCTTGTAACCAGAAGGTCCTGGGTTCGAATTCTGGTGGTTGCGTGCTGATGAAGAATCCCAAACTAGGACGAAACAGCTGTCTAGCAGTACTCCCTGTTGGTTTTCAAATGGTTCTCTAACCGATATCAGCTCATGATGAAATCCCGTAACCAATCAAATCCCTACTGACCGACACTTGAAAAAGAAATGGATTTCTTCAGTTGCACTATTAACTAGAAAATTATTACTTGTTGTCTTCTAGGAGCTCAAACTTATCATTCGTATTAAACATAATGAGTCCATTTTTTGTTGTTGAATAATATTCAAAACAATCATCATTTACTCTATGTTTACTTTAGGGCCTGTAAACGCAAATGTGCGCCTGTAATAGGTCACATTCGCAGAGGTAAGGATTATCAGAATGAACTACCCTGAAGAATTAAATTTTCACACGAAAGTAGATGTGCATAACCAAGAATGTATTTCATGAAAACTGTCAGTGAATTTCTCAATACACAAAGTGTAGATTAGTAACGCGTGGTGTTATATACGACGCATAATAATCTGTTACCTATACACCCAAAAAAAATAGACTGTTTGTCTTCGCATGGTGGAAGTGTTAGACCAAACGTATCCTTTTAAAGCCTTGAAGAATTGAGAACTAGTGAAAAAGATCATTGAAATAATTCACTTTTGAGGGAATTTTTATTAGTATTACACAATGACAATGAGTAATTACTGATTTATGATGAAAATGTGAATGAACATAGAAGAGAGTCAGAATACACCAAGAAAAACAAAACAATGGTGAAACTTGCAGTTCCACATAATGAATATTATGTTATGAATATGTTTTGAATATTATTTCTGTATTTTTATTTTTTATTTTTTTTGTGTAGATTTTATCAGTTATCTTTTGTACTCTTTGTTTTTAAAAGTCTTATAGTTATTGTTTCTCTCTTTTTGGATTAATTACAATGTGATATGGAAATTGGTCTGTGTTTAATGAATATCATAATTTCTATAGGGTAATGAAATACAATATTTCTTCTCAGTATTTTTACTATCTGTAAAAAAAAACACACACAATAGAAGAGAATACGCGTTGTGTAATACTTTTTAATCTCAATTGTCCGACAGTGTAATATAAGATTAATAAAAGAAGTATATATTCTTCCTAAAACAAATAATAAAAAAAGAAGCAATTTCTTTATAAACTGCATCATTGGTAGTACAGTATTTTTGTTTGTCAGTCAACTGCATCTGGTACAAATAAATTCCTCTGAATGCTTTCCTTGTGAGATAATTCACATGTGCACATTTTCATCACTCTGTTCATCACTGAGTAAAAAAAAAAAGAACAAAAAATAATGTTAGCAAAAATCGAATAATCTCTGAACTCTGAGAAAGTTCTCCAGTAACAATTCCTTGTACGGTTAATAATTATTATGATAGAGTGGAAACCGGAGTTGGAGTTGACAGCCTGGATTGAAGAATCATTCAATCCTGTGAAAGTATAGACTCCCATCTTCACCTCCGATACAGTTACTTATAAAAAAAATTAAGTTCTAATTTTCAACATCAATATTTTCTGAATTTATATAAAAATCGTTGTGTTTGAAACCAACAAGAAGAGTGCCAACCTCTTGATGCTTGGTAGAAGTGTAATTTCTACGTAAGCAGCGTAATCACTAGATCAATGCCGAAAACAACTGCAAATTGACTAGTTTGGTGATGAGTTCCGTTCGATTTCAGTGTTGACTAGTCTGTATTTGACTGTGGACAGAAATAATATATTGACCAACGAATTATTTAGCTCCGTGGTCCATTTGGAGTAAGTTAATAACAATAACAATAATAGTAATAATAATAATAAGATCCATGGTCGTAATACTAATATAAATATTTGTTTCAGTACTCTTGATAGGTCCAACTAAAAAGGACTGCAGAGAACAAGATGAAATAGGTATGGGCTGTTGAAGCCCTATTTTCCACTTAGACCTCAAGGGAATAATAAGATTATAATAATTAGTGGTCTTTATTAAGTATTTGTTTGGCTTTCCATAAAAATTTGATAAATATTCAAATTCCATTGTGGGTAAAATTTGTTTTGATAAAGTCTCACAGTGTTATACAGTAATGTTTACTGATGACGTTACGAGCACAATTTATTGCTCATAATCATATCAAGGTACTCACACAACTTTCTAACTTCGTCTATATAATTAATTAATTATTTTTCATCGCTTGATTTGATTGGTAGTAGTATTCTCCATATTTCCGGTATGAGTGATGAGTCATTCCTATTGCATGTGTTGGGTGTAGACTCGATGAACAAAGATTTACTAATCAACCTCTCTCTCCACCTACCTATATTACTTCTTAGAATTTCAGCCCCCTCCCACCATATTATTGTGTGGTTGTATATTAATGCATGCAGTGCAGTTGCTGAGCTTTTTTCTATATGTGTAAAACTTGGGCAATGTGGTCGTAAGTAATCCCATATTAATTGATTAATTAATTGACATGATTATGAGCAATAAATTGTGCTAGTAATGTCATCAGTAAACATTACTGTATAACACTGTGAAACTTTATCAAAATAAAATTTACCCATAATGGAATTACACTCTACCACAGTGCACAAGTTTTATTCTTATATCAATGATAGACTGAACGTTACCCTGAAAAAAAACATATCCAGCTGCCAAGCTTGTATGCGTTTATCAAACGACCTATTGTTTAAGACAGTCAAAAGTGAACAAACTCCCACCTCCAACTCAGTATACCAATTTACATGTTCGTGCCAAAGCACATACATTGGAAGACAGAGAGAAGAGTTATTGTCCGCATCGCTGAACACATACCAAAGAACCTGAGATTAAAGGGCCCATAAGCATCAAACAGTGCAGTTGCACGCCATCCGCTAGAGACTGGCCATGTTGTGGACAATCTGAAGGCGTTCAAAATAATCAGCAGACAAACGAAGCCTAGCTTGCTTCGTTTTGCTGAGGCAACCGCAATCAAACGGCGAAAACCAAATCTATATACACAGAAAGAGACAGTGGTGAATCTTGCACTGCCCTGATGATAACAAAGCGCAGAAATATCACTACATCATCTCCTGTCCTATTTAGAAAATTTTATTGCTCGTCTAAACACGACTCACCCTTCCTCCCTCCTTTTTGGCTATTTTATTTAAACATATTTTCTGTGGTAACGTAACCTATTATTTGTTACACCCTTTCTGGTTAAACTTTGTTTCTACCCACAAAAAAATTGTTGAACTGTGTTCTTTTGCTTCCAAGCCTAGTCATCTAATTTTCCCATAAATAGTCAGTCCTTTTCGCCCCTAATTATTTAACAAATTACTTCATTCCGAACGAATGCTACTCTCAGTTCCTACCATTTACTCTTTGTCAACGTGGAAGAAGTATGTTCAAATCTTTAATATAATTTATTTCTTTGTATTGTGACCAGTTGAGAAGAATCATCGAAGTAATAAAAAACGATCTCATTTAATCCTGGTACACATCTGTCGTTGTTACCTTATTCAAACAAACACCTCTTCCTGGACAAAACTGTGTTTTCCCTTATTAGTGAATAAATGTGTATACTTTGGGAATATACTGTCAGCTGAAAATTCCACCTATTCCTTGGAAAATAACGATATCTAGAAGATTTGCAGAGATCTATAGTTTGTCATTCATCTTGTGGATAAATAATACCAATCATCGGTATTTCATATCAACTAATCCTTGAACTTAGGAAAAGAGCCTTCTAGTAATTTTAAAGAACAAAAATGTTACAAGATTTTGTGAGTCTGGCTCCAATAGACAAATGAAAACAGACAGACTAAAAAATTAATCAACCAATTGCAATGTCTATTCATAAGGAACTCACTGTTTGTCAACAACGTCCCAGTTTTTCCTTAAGAACCTATAAATAGGAATAAATTTTCTTCCAATACGAGACCATAGTTCAATAGAATGATCCGGTTGATAGTACTGATTGAAATGTACACATGATTCTTTTTCTTGGCATATTTCATTTCTGGTGTCTTGATTCATTAAGTTTGTTTGTACAGTAGAATTCCGATTGTTGAATAATTTTTCAGGTTGTGTAGAGAGAGCATCTACAGTCTGTTTATTCGAATAATTTCTACAATTATCATCTTCATTGTGATTTAACGCGTTCACTGGAACCGATAGATAATATAATGCCAAACTCTTGAATATATCATACTTTTCTGATCTTTCACTTTGATTATTCCACCATTCCAGGGGATTTTCGTTAATATCAGTAGATTTCTCATTTAAGTACTCACTAATGAAGTGTTCAAATTCTTCTGTATAATTTATTTCTGAATTTATTCCCAGTTTTTGGTTGTAAGTATCAAGGGATTGTATCTGTCAATGAAACAATGCAAACAGTATTGCCTGACTATAGAAATATATATGAAATAAAATAAGATTAGTGATGAAAATGATAAAAATAACATCAAGAATGTGGAATTCAAAGCCTCTGTTGTACTTCCATATAAAGAAGGAACACCAGAGGTCTTACATAGGATTCTCAATAAGGCTGCAATTAGGGTGACATTTAAACCAACCAAATCTCTCAGAGATAAAATTTGTTGACTTAAGGACCCTATATATCCAACTAAGAAAAATAATGTAATTTACCAAATACTATGTAATGACTGTGGGGTCGGTTACATAGTTGAAACTAGTAGATCAGGGGCAATCAGATTGTCAGAACACAACAATTTAGCTAGACCTAGAATGACTGACGCTTTAAAGTTGAGTAACCTAGATGAAAGCATGACCGCTGCATTGCACTCATTTGCATGTAATCACACAATAGGGTGGGGCAGGGTGGAAGTGTTAGGTGAAGAGAGAGGTTGATCACTGAATCTTTGTTTATCGATTTGCCACCAGAAGCATACAATCAAAATGACGCAACACCCAAACTAGAAATATGGAAAATTGCTACAAACAACAAGGGGAATAGAGAAGGGATATATATATATATATATAGCAAATTATGAAGCCATTTCACGTGATCCAGTTATTATTACTGTACCACTATGTGTTATATCAAATAAAGTTATCTAATATGGAATTGCATTCTACTATAGTGCCCTAGTTCTACAATGGTCGCTCGCCGACCATGCACATGATCCGGGGTTCGATCCCCGGCCACAGACGCACTCCTTTACCTCACTAAGCCAGAAATAAAAAGCTGGTGTAGAGAAAAAGTTTGGCATGAGGCTAGCAACCTCATCCTGTAAAAATAAACACTGCCACAGAAACTTTAAGCCTCTAGCTTGAAGCCCCATGTTCCACTGGGAACGTGAAGGAATAAAAAAATAGTGCCCTAGTTCTACAATCATTATATATTAAGAATATTCGCTTACCATTTTAAATGACATTCATTTACTACCCTGACGTAACTTCAAATAAAGCCTATTTACCTGCACTAGGTCTGTGTTACTTATAACATTTAAACAAAAATGTGTTGAGTATTAAAGTAGTATGGTAATTAATTCTTTATGTTGGTTGTTCACCGAGGGGTAACCAATAAAATTTGTCCAGTACTTAGCAGTCACTGTGGTGTGTGCTAAATGGATATAGATTGATAAGAGGCCACAAATTAAAATCAACATTTGAAGTCTACGGCTGAAGAGGTAAATGAATCTCTTCCTCAAATATGGACTTAGTTTACGTTATGGTCATGAAATAATCTCATTGGATACCCTTTCGTCCTTCTGTTTAGCCTTGAGTCAATCGCCAACCAATTAGAACAGTTTAGTGTTCTCTGACCTAGCTGATTTTTATTTTGGTTAAAAAGTTCGTTACGACTTCTCTTATCTCCTGGCGTTGCAGTCATCAGCTCAGAAGACTCATCAGAGGGACGCATGGTTTGAATTAATGTCAGATCATTAAAGGCGATTGGTGGGAATTCATGCATCCGAATTTCAGGCTTACTGGCACCCATTATAAGTTCCTTCATGATAGCGGATGCGCCTCGCTGATGATTTCCATTGAACTCGAAGCCTGGGTGCGTTTGGCTGTTTATAACTGTGAATTAATTACCGAAGTTGATATCATTTAACAAAAGGTTGTTTCACAAATACTTGTGGCAGAAAATTACTGTGCCTATGGCACGAATAGTTACCGATGTCCTTTAATGAGTTTATATAAGCTAACAGTACAACGACAACGGGAAAATATTTTTTGAACACAAAAAAATAAAATAAAGATTTCATTTACAAATAATTTTGAGAATTCTATTGAGAAGCGGAAAACTGAAGTTATTGGTTCATGTGCCTAAAATTCAGGAATCCTTGCTGCTATTTTGAAGTCTGTCTTATGGAAAACTTAGAGTTATTTCACAATGTAAGAAAAGAATCAAGAAACAGGCTTCTCTTCATAGGTAGATCGACTGTAGTTTGGGTAAGTGAATGGGCGCATTTGTTAGGGTGAGATCCTTCTGATGGCATTAAAACGTTATTGGAATTGACCACCAAAACGAATCATTTAACTGAAAGTATGGTAGATCTCTGTAAATTTAATGTTGCAGTGGAATAATCCTTTCTCAGTAAAACTGATGTTAGTTTTTTGGTAATATCTGATACTAGGAGATGTGGTCACAAAAACTAGAGCAACAAATAACAAATCCAAAGAAACGAAACGAAACATGAAAGTCATCCGGGCACAGTGGAATTCTATCCAAGAAAAATACATCCACTGATATTTGACTAGATATGTTTCTGCGTGAAGCAAAGAAAAGTGAAGTAATTTAATTTGAAGGGTTAACATTCTTCAGAAACCGAATTTTAAGAATCCTGAAAGACTTCATTTGTGAAATAGTCAAACAAATCAAATTCACTATGGAAATGAGTATTTACTCAACAGAAATATATATATATATATTGCATTACCATTCACTAAAAACCGGAAAAAAAGATTCTGTTTCAAGATAATTAGTGATCCAGCTACAATAATATTTTCAAGATATAGTCAAAATAACTTCCGATGTTAATTGAGTAAAAATGATCGTAGTACAATGTAAATTTTGAAACACTACCTGACTAAGAAAAAAACATCCATGTTCATCACGGTTAATACTGGATAGCGTAATGCTTTTTCATAGAAAGAGTTGAATAGCAAATTTAAATCTTACAATGTTTCACACCCCTTTTTAGATCCGACTGGTAAATTTAATGACCCAAGAGTTTAACCTGTAAGTTCTACAAAATTTGTTTAATACTTAGCCATTGTAAAGCCAGAGGTAATTAGATAATAAGCAAATTTCTAATACTTCTCAGGCGAAATGTAGAAGATCCTCGCCTGTGGTCAATAAATCATTTTGTAATTTACAAAGCTATGCAGAATTTTAATCTCTATTTACTTGCATGTTAAATAAAAAATTGTGGACTGTCTGTATAATCTGCATAAGACGGTTTTCATTTTGATTGTAATATCATTATGTGAAGTCATGATCTTGTTGTGAGTTGTTGCCTTGATACCGTTGGTAAACAAATTTCGTTGACTCTTCCTCTCTCTCTCTGTGTGTGTTATTCAATGATTAATAATTTAGAATGGTCAGAGAGGCTCTCTATTAATTTATCTAATTAAAATATTTCATCGTCGTGACCTTTCAGTTTTTTCATCTTAAAAATATGTATTTACTACTATTGCTACTACTATTACTACTAATGATACATTTTTCTGTGTGCAGGGATATGCAATTGTCACTAAACACCGCAATTCATAACTCTACAAAATTAATCTTATAATTAATTAAGCAATATAGCGTGCAAAACAAAAATGACAATAAAAAGCTTACTTTTGTTTTCAAGATATTTACGGCTGTTTCACATTCACCCTTACTTAATGAACGCTTAAAACGTGGATCAAGAAATGTTGAGATGATAAGAAACTCGTTCAACAGATTATTTCCATTATAGGTTGTTTTCAAGTAGTTAATCATAGTTGCATAAAATTGATCCGACAGATCTTCACTTATCCCTTCTGTGTGCATTGAATATAAATTTCCTAGCATTGGTCGAATCATTGATGCAGTGAAGGATAATAATTTCCGTCCACAAATTCTTTCTGCTTTTTGTACAACCTACAGTAAACAGATTAAATTATGTGTAGTAGTGGTTCTGTAATTATGAAAATAAAAAGAACCATAACGTTTTATTGGTACCTTCAGAAGTATTCATAATAGAAAAGTATTCCTAGCTAAGATGTAAATAGTGTTCAAAAAATGACAGGAGAACAATCCATATGAAATATTGTGATGATATAGTCTTTATAATGGTTTGTGTTACATAATAGATGAATGTTCTCTTCAGCAAATTCTCTACAGGTTCTTATAATTATAAAATATGGTTTTACTCAATTTTAGATTTTCTCATCGATTGATTGGACCTAAGTGCTCGGTCTCAGGTTGACATGTCGGCTTCTTGAGCAGATGCTTCGACGATGTCTGGGCATTTAATTATAATTTAATTAGTGGATGGTGTCTAGCAACAGAATCCAGGATGCGCATTTCATCCTATTTGGGACCCGTCATCTGGATGTACCTGCATTCCGCAATGAGTGATGATGTTCCCACCGAGGCTCGAATCCAGTGCCCATAGTTTCAAAAGCCAAAGCATTATCCTCTAGACCACTTGGGCCACGAGAAGGCAACATTTCAACCTTCGGTCCAATCAATCGACGGGAAAAATCTAAAATTCAATTAAATCAATATGACCCGTTGCACAAGAGGTGGCTGTCGTGGCCTAAGTGGTCTAGTGGATAACGATTTGGCGTTTGAAAGTATGAGCACTGGGATCGAGCCTCGGCGGGAACATCATCACTCACTGCGGAATGCAGGCACATCCAGATGACGAGTCCCAAATAGGATGAAATGTGCGTTATCCTGGATTCACCATCCACCTATAAAATGTAGTGTTTATCTTTACAATAGTAGCTAGTTTTGCTGCGGATACATTTTTTGCCAAATAACAGATTAGTGATAGTAAGGTGACAAAAGAAGTATTTAAATTTGATCGCGGGCTGACATCAGCTAGAGAACTATTGGAAAATCAGCGTATTGGACAGTTGTTTCGTTCTACTTTGAGACTCTTCAACAGTAAGTACCCATCAGGGTTTTAATCCCCGGTTTTCCAGTCGTTCTCTAACTGATATCAGCTCATGGCCAAAGTTAAAACAAATCAAATGCCCACAAACTAACTCTTGGAAATAATTCGGATGTTCGCTAATGGCTTCCTACACTACGAAATTACCTGGAGCTCTGGTGAGAAGTCGTGACCAGTGGAGCCCACTATGTCGTCCGTAATAACAAATACTCGCCAATGATACTGACTGGTGGTCGCGATCAAATCAGCAATTAGTAGAAGTTGGAATTCATGGGCCACCTGCTTCCCTTGTGACCGGTCTTAACTTTGAACCCCACTGAGTACGTACAGTGATGAGTCCTAAGCTGAGGCGAAACATTTGTCCATTACTCTCTGGTTCTCCAGCTGATTTCAGCTTGTGATCAAATTTTGGAATAAATTAAATCTCTATAAACCAACTCTTGAAAATCGTATTTATGTGACAAACATAGTGGGCTGAATGCAATTTTAAAAAATACTATGGTGTGCAAAACATTGACGTCGGTTCTTCATAATAGATTTATACGATGAGGGGGAGGAAAACTGAAAACAATATCCCACATTCAAACTAACTTTTATTTCATAGTGTGGTAATATTTCACACTGTTAAAACTCTTTCTATATGGTATATAGCATACAGTATAATGTGACGTACATATATACACAAACAAAAGGTACGTCCTTATGGCAGTTTATCTTTCATAAAGAGGAAGGGGTGGAGTTAGGTGGTGAAATGTATTGTTTTGAATTTTTGACCAAAATACCATCTATAAATAGTTTTTGTCTAAGTACACATTTTTGTGGGAACTTTACTGTCCTCTTCCCCTCGAAGTTAAGGTAGAAGTAATTGGACAGCAGTAATAGCAATAATACTATGTAAGGAATGAGGTAAAAAAAAATGTAACGCATTGGTACACTTCCCATGTATGAAGCTAAAAGTTTTTGCTAAGCTTCATCTTTTAGATTTGTGATAGCAGTTTTTAATCAAATAATACCGTAAGTTACATTTATGAAATATGTACGTATACATATGCATATTATATATCTATTTACACATTTATACTAAATAGTATAACGCTTATAACTAAAAACTTGGACAAAATTAACTGACCAACATTTATTTAATTGTTTAACCTTTCAGTACTACACCTGCATTCCCATGTTTCATCCTTCACTAACTAAAAGTGACATTATTGTCATCCTGTGGGTACAAGAGAGACAAATTGTTCAGTTTTGTCACACTAAAAGTGAATATTTGCTTATCAAAAATTGTGATTCTATTTTTAAAACTGAAATCTCCCTTAATATATTCAAACTTAATTTGCCCTACTTTTTAATTAATGAAGTATGGCTGTTATCCTTTTTAAGCCTACAACACAACCTATCAATATTATTCTTTTCTGGACATTTCAATACAATGTGTACACAGGTGTTCAAAATGATATTACATCTATTCAGTCTATACTTTCTATCATTTCTGTATATATATATTTTTCATGAATGCTCCAACCCTCCTTGAGCCAAGTTTAAAGGTGATAATACTGTTGGCTCGCTTCCAATTCGTGTAATTAAAATCTGGAGAAAATGAATGTCCAGACCAGTAAGCACAGTGTTACTGAAAATGGCATTATTTTCTTTCTTATCCTGTCATAACAGATTTGTCGATTTGAACAAAATATTGTCAGAGTCTGAGTTTCGTAAATGTAAAAAAAAAAGAGTAAAACTACACATAGACGAATGCAACTAGTTATTTGCGGACCATATAGTTCGAGGTGGGATTTCACCACAGTTTCCTTTGAAAAGCCAAAATACTTTAATCACAGTATGTGATCTGAATGATAAATGGAAAGGCGCATGAAGATAGCAAGCATGACTCTTGTATTGGGTACATACTACTAAATGATATGGCTATTGGAAAAGTACTCAAACTAACCAGTATTACACACTAGTAAAACTGACGTAATGCTGACACCGAAAGGCCATTCAACTTATTTGTGAGAAAACTAATCTGTAGTATAGCTGGACTCACTTCTTTTTTTTTATGGGACAAAATCAATTCATACTACTTTCACTCTTCCAGTTATTCAGAGAAACAAGTAGCATGTGGAAAATAAGGTTGTTATTATTCATAAGATACAGTGCCAGGCAGTTTGGGAATATAATGGTTCCGAATTGAATTTATGTAGAAATTTCTTTTACAGACTCAGCTCCGATCAAGTGAAGCTGTCACCCATCTCTTTTTTCATCTTGTTCTGACTAACAATTATTAACGTTTGAAGTGAAGAGTTCTCGACTACCTATATGAATGAGTAGATCATATCCATTTAGCTAATTATTAACGGTCTATGAGATATCGTTAATGCTTAGTGAGACAGTTCTTTTAACCAGTGCTTAAAAGTGATAACTATGTGTTTAAACTGAAATGCCAGAGTTTGCTAAGTTTCAATCAACAACCATAAGTTGATTAGTTAAATATTGCTTATTCTTCTTTATGTGTGGGTTAATCTGGTTAAGGAAAAGAAATGAACACTTTAGAGAAAAATCACTAGATAGATGTAAGTTTCTTAGTAAGGGATATGAGAAGATAGATTATATTTACTCTAAAATTTTAACAGGCATACAAACATACATATCGATTAATGAAGATTCTTTTTTGGAGTTCAGCCACATTGTGAACATCAAATCAAGCTATATTTGGGAGCCATCTATACGTCAGTATAGATAAGTCATGGGGGTTCACTCACTAGTCATTAATACATAAACTTTACGATTCACATAACAGATTTACTTTGACCTACCTCAATTAATTCCACGATCCTATTCCCCAGCTTTAGATCCAATTCGTTAAAATCAAGTATTAAATGAAGGCTTGACTGCGTCCATTTAATCAGATTCAAGACGTTCGGTAGACATGTTGTTAGACTTGTTTCATCTGTCTGCTGTTTCATATCATTGGTTTGTGAAGCTGATTTATTTATCATTTCCACGTTTCTGTCTAACTTCTGACGTACACTGTGTTGATTTCTTAGAAAAATCTTTATCGGTGGTAAACATAGTGCGCACTAAAAGGAAAATAATGGCAATTAGTAGACTCATTATGGTTAAACAAACTTAATATATGTGGAAATAATTCTGCCTCAAACTATAATTCTCAAAATCTTATCTACGGACTCTAAACTACTAATCATAATAAATGTTTATACATCTTGTTAAATGTAAATAAGTAATAAATGTCCCATTGATTAAACGAAAGTTGAAAATCGCTACCACTTAACTATCTTTCAGATCGTAACTACATCTTACGAAACAGTGAAACACCAATGACTGTTTGTCACACTTGTTCACGAGTTAATATTCTCTTCACATGCCACCATGTATTCATTTGAACCATAAAAAAGTTATCTTAGATTATTCAATGTATATATATATATATATATATGAATAGCTTGTTACCTACTTGGGCAGCATTGTTCATATGAGCATCAACACATGGTAAGATAATGCATTTTGAAATTAGAAAAGATTCTTTAAGATTTGATAGCACATATTCGGAACAGTTTGTTAATATAATGAAAGGCCATTCTGATAAAATTTGAGTATACTGTGAATCAAAGCTTGAACAAAGCAAGTTCCAACAGGGTTCCAGAATTTTGCTTATCGTCTGATTTTCAGTTATCTAAATTCAGGGAAAAAAGAGAGGATAACAGTAATAAGAATATACATCATAAATTCTTGTCTTAAGCGAAAGACGCATTAGTACCAAGATGATGACAAAATCACCGTCTGAGATTAGAAAAATATAAATGGAAAACTGGAAGTCAAGAAAACCAAATAGTTGTGATTTTGAGGGCTTTAATGGCCTTTTTTAATTTAATAAACAACCAGCCTTCGACCCTCAGATTAAAAGTCTAGTGTTCTACCGACCGCCTTATCTTTTCGTAAATAAAACTAATTATGACAGTAATTTTATATATATATATATATATATCAAGATAAGTGTCTTTATTAGTCCCTAGTATTCAGAATAAATTCTTGTACTTATATGCATTTGCAGTACGAGACTTTGACCACTTTAATCATGGAATAGCATTCCGAGACAAACAGAACATTCAAATTATTATTCAAACCAATATGAAGATACAGATTCTACTTTTTGAGGGAAAATCCAATTGAAATGAACTATGCATAGCTTTTAAATGATAGTAAAAGCATCTTATCTATTTTGACAGGATTTTGGAAAACTTTGTCACAAATCTAAGTCATCCAGCCAATAAGTGGAAACTGATAATCATGAATGGTTGTTCTGTTTTAGTTTGCAATTCTTGAGACATGTGTACGCGTGATAAGACGTGAAAATGAGCCAGCAGCCATTAGATTCGGGTGTTTGTCAGTGTGTTAGCATCGATTGATGTTACTCAGCTTTCTCCAATTTGCTAATATGCGGTCATTATTATCTGTATCATTTGTGAGCAACTGTCATCAAACCTAGCTTAACCAAATCTATCAGTTGTTGTTTCTCATGGGAATTTTAGGCGATGTAAACATGTGAGTCCATCGACGAAATACAATGAATCACTTATGGTGAAGTATTATAAAGGAATCGTTTCATTCCATTCTAGTCTGTTGTTGAAATGAACATGACATTTGTAGTAGTGAATTTTGTATGCCATAATTAAAAGTATCCCATCATATCTTCAAATCTAGCCTGCTTAAGACTTTCCACCCGAATAAAATTATTTCACCTATTATACGAAATGAAGAAAAATGCATTTTTTTAATACCCATCTAATAGTTTTCTGAAATATTTTTGGTGTTTAAGTGTTTGGAAGCCTGTTCAATAAAAGATTTTATTTCTGCCTTCAATTCAATTTTAACTTTCCCGACAATTAACTGGACCGAAATTTTAGGCCTCTATTGATATGTCGGCTCACTGTGCAGACATTTCGACGATATCTGAAAGTTAGCTTGAAGTCACCATCGCACAAGAGGTGGCTGTCGTAGCCCGGGTGGTCTAGTGGACAGCGCCTTCATGTTTGGAGCTACGGATACTGGTTTCGAGTCCTATCACTGTAAAATTCAGGCACACCCAAATCGGACGAAATGCTCATCCTGGATTTCATTAATTCGCCGTTTAATGGTTAACTTCAACACAGATACGATTTCAAATAATTATCATTATTTGTTGGCATAAATTGTTTGTAAAGATTAAACTTACTTCAAAAGTACCATAGAATATATTATCTCTCTTATAAGTATGTTTAATATTTGCGCAGAAATGTAGTTCTACATCAACATATTCAAAGGATAATTTGCTCAAATTATTCGGTTGGCTTAAAGACCAAAACTTCAGAAAAATGTTAATATTTGGAATGTTAATTAACTCTTTTGAATATTGCAATCTAATTGTATTTTTTATCTTATTGTCAATTCGTAATCTTGTTGTTTGATAAAGATGAGTTAATATTTTATTTTCCATTAAATGTGAAGACGGTAGGAAATTGAACTCCAAATTATAATTGATATTTTCATTCGCCTTCCGAAATTTATCCCACAGTATTGAAATTAAAATCTAAGGTATGAAGAGGAAGAAAAAAGAATGAAGATATTTCAGTTATATAGTCTACTGCTAAGCATTTTGTTTCATTCTATTCCAACTGAAAAAGTCGGCTGCGTACATTAACTTGGTCACAAACATCAAAGTATTGATTGAGTGTTCGTCTGATGGATTTAAACCCGTATGCATTCAGAAAGATGGAAAAACCTGTACTGATTCTAAGTGTTCAATTCTGCCTTCATAAAGTTAAACAGAACTTAGTAAATATTATATGATGTCTTAGAGGCGTGTTAAACAGTTTCAAGGGCATCAAGTTAAAATTCATTTTTTAAATTATGAGACCAGGTGCAGATGTTCTTACTTTCTTCAATTTAGAACAGAATGATGAAGCTCCAAATGAAATTGCCATCAGAAGGAAAATGTTTTAATATTAAACACTGTTGTAAGACCACAAAATCTTCACAGATTACATTAAAGGATGGAGGATAGAGGTGAAAACTGTTTGAAGTGACTGGTTACTCGTTTACTAATTTGACTGGACAAACCTACATGCACAGCCTATTTTACAAATTATACCGCCAAAGTACTCAGACTGGATGAGATTTTTATCAGTACCACAAAGTGATAGTGATAGTGATTTCCGACTATTAATTTTTTATAACTTTTATATGTATTTTAAGTCTATTTGACTACATTTTTCACATGCTTTGTATTTTCACTGGAGTGAATGACACAATGAATAGACTAAGTGGAATTTCAGGAAATCGAAAACGGCGTGTACTTTTCAAGTGATATATATATATGTAAAGTAATCGACTTTTATTAAAGACATATCATTTGACCTTATAATTCAGGAGAAGTGTCTCGTTTAAGCAAGAGAAAAAATCGAAAACGAAATGTAATCCATGTTTAATCTCCTCTACGCAATTTAAGCAGATACATTGGAAGATAGAGGAATATTATTTCTTTCATTCAATAATAATAACAACAACAACAGTTAGAACATATTAGGTCACATTATTAATTCACGAAACATTTACTGACCGATTATTATTTTTATTTATTTCTAATAGACAACTTTAATCTTGTTCTTTTAAATCATAGGAATATCTCTTTGATCGTTATTAAATATTATTGAATAGAAAAGACTAAAGCAATAATTTTGTCCAATAAAAAAATAAAATTCGTAATGTGCAAGTTCACCATGCTTTCCATTTGGAAACCAAAAATATTCAGATGACACATTAAGCTTTGCTTGATAGCGTAAACAGTAATAGTATTAGTGGACGACTGGCTAGTCGGTTCCATATAAAAATGCCTCTTAGATATCCATTTTGGTTGATACTAAAGAGTATCGAGATGGGATTTTAATAGGAAACTAAAAATTCCTACTGAAATATTTATACATCCTATTGTTTTTTTGGAATTTCGAAAAAAAAGATAGGTGATTTTGGAATTCTCTGGGAATTTTACGAATTCAAGCGAAGTGATAAGGTGAAATAATGTCAGCGGATTTTGTTTCATCCATTGGTTTTAAAAACATAGACATAAACCTATTTTAACTGGTAAAATGGGGAATTATTAATTTGAAGAAAACGCAAATATTAGTATCATACAACCGGAAGCAGTAGAGTTGACTGAACAGAACCATATGTTATTTGATTCATTTCTTTAAGTTCCCAGTGGAATATAGGGCCTCAGGCAAGAGGCTTGAAGTCTCGGCAGAAGTTGTATTTATTTTTACAGGATGGGGTTGCTAGCCTCATGACCAACTTTCCCTCCTTACCAGTTTTATTACTGGCTTAGCTAGGTTTTGGAGTGCGTCCTCCTGGGATCGAACTCTGGACCACATGCACCACCGACATACCATTATGAATTGTGGATAAAATATATTTTTAAGTGAAATTCGGAAAGAAAGCTTTAATATTAACATACTAACTGACTTTTTTAAAAAATCTCTGAAATTCCGTAACTGACAGTTAACAGAGATTTAAAAAATCTTTACTAAAACAGGTCATTACAAAAAAAGCGATTCTAAGTAATTTAAACAATTCTGAAAATTGACTCTTGTCTGAGGAGTTATTTAACTTAAATTGCAACATGATTAAGTGTTAGACTATTTTAACTGTTTTTGCATTGAGACTTTGACAAAAAACAGTATTAACTAATTAAGTATTGTGTATCCAGTCATGCAGAACAGATATCATGAATATTACTCAATCAAAATTCACACAAATACGGGGAAAAAGGTTACAGGCTTGTGGAAAATAAAAGTCACATGTTGGAAATTATTGAAGAAGAGGAAATACTTTGAACAGATTTCAGTATTTTAGTAATATTAAAGATCAGGATAGGTATTTGATTTTCAGATAGCATGAATACCTTTCACATTGTGTTATTTATGAATGATTTAAGCAATAAAGTGACAATAAATTATTTCTGTAATGGCTTTTTATCACACTGAAGTAGTATTTCATTCTGTATGGCCTACCACAATATTCATTTGTCTAATAGACAGTTATTTAAATACGGGGATTAATATTTGCTATGACTTTTATGTCAGTTTATATATATATATATATATACAAGTATTTTGCTATTCACTGTTATAAGATAATAATTTAGTGTTTATCAAAAAAGCTAAAGGCAGTCATCGGTATAGAACTAATAAATATTTTCAAAGACGCTCTGAAGAAGTCACCAAGCTTATTGATGAATTTTTTGTATTCCTTACTCTCCGAGTGCAGCATAAGACTTCAAGCTTTGGTCTTTGAAATTCCAGTAGTGATGGTGCTGTTTTTAGAGGGTGGAGTTGATGGCCTCACATCCAACCTCCTGTCTTTTCCGGGTTGACTGCTGGCTAGTAAAGTAGGGGAGGTTTGGAACCACTGAACCACTGACGCAATGATGAAATGCACATGATGACTAAATATTACAACTCAAACAACATTGAACAGTTTTCATCATTAACCATAGTTACATATCTTGTTATTTATCCATGGAAAGTCTGAGATCTTTAATGTAAATCAATTGTCCTCATATATAGTACAATCTCACTAAGTGAACAGGGAACATGTCGGAAAAGATTTAAGATAATAATAAATCCGCATTTTTCATAAGACAAAAATTAAGTCGTGACCAGTGGAGCACAGCAGGTCGGGTGTGAGGACAAATATTCGCTGGTGACACTGACTAGTGGTCGCGCCATATCGTGAATTGGCAGAAATTAGAATTCATGAGTTGTCCATTGGAGGGGGTCCCAGTGGCTTAATTGTCTAGTTCACCTTGTAACCGGAAGGTCTTGTGTTCGAATTCTAGGAGTGGGTGCGTACTGATGAAGAGGCCCAAACTAGAGAGAGACAGCTATCCAGTACTCCTCGTTGGTTTTCCAATGAATCTCTAACCGATGTCAGCTCATAATGAAATCCTGAAAAATTAACACTGTTAACAATTGAAATCTAGAGTGAAACTATTGATTATAACCTGTTAAAAGTTTTTATTAAAGGATTTGCTGTATCATTCTTTCGTCATACAGGGATTATTTCTAGTTTGACCACGGATTGATGTCAGTTAAAGAGGAATTAGAAATAAGGGATTGTCAGAGAGTTGTTTCATCTCAGTCTGGGACTCTTCGTCTGCAAGCACCCTTTGGCTTCACCCAAGTTTTGAGTGACTCTCGAAATGATATCAGTCTGTAACCAAACTTGAAATAAACCAAATCCCTACAAACTAACACCTGGAAATTGATGATTACTATCAACAGTGCTTTAGAATCATATTGAATGTCGGCAACCTTAATGCATGAAATAACTTATAGTCTAATGCGTTTGAAGGTGAATTACCCTCAATAATACGAACAACATTTCGTTATGGACTCAGTCAACAGAAAATCCTCCCGTAGGTACTTTTGATCATACCAGAAGTATCTATAACTGTGACTATAGTATGAAATAACCCTGCCTAGTTTACTCCCTCGCTATTTTTCAAGCCGGTCCTAGTTTCAGGAAAAGGGGGAAAGGGGAGCGTGGGGCTATCGACCCTACCCCACAAAACTAATCAAACTGCTACAAAAACTTCAAAGTACAATTAAAATACAAACACGAACTTATTTTCCGTTGGAACTAGAGAGATGAATGACACGGGCTGGTGAAAGCCTTCAAGAAGCCAATCAGATGACATATTTTCTTTAGATGAAAATAAAAATAAGGATGGTGACATTGAATGTTCGTACAATGTATGGAGCTGGGAATTTTGCCCGGGTAGCCAAATAAGTAAGAAAATACGGTTTGGAAGTGCTAGGAAGAAGAGCAGGTGGAATAGATGTGGACTATCAGAACTGTCCGCTGGAGAGTCAGTAATCTACTCCCATCAAACTACTAAAGAACGGCAACTCAGGCCTCTGCGAGAACCGGTGCGGAATCATGCTCTTCTCCACGCCAAGTAAAATACTGAATGGCATCATCCTGGAGGGATCAGATGATGTTCCGAATGTAGAACTCCGACCACAACAAACTAGATTCAGGAAAGGTAAATCATGTGCTGATCAAATCGCTACTCTACGCATTATCATCGAGAAGAGCATAGAATGGCAATCAAATCTCTACCTCAGCTTCATCCACTTTGAAAGAGTCTCCACCAGCTTTGACCACGAAGTAATTTGGAGACTATTTCAACACCATAAAGTGTGGGGCCACAAATCTTTATCAACCTCACTCAACTGCCAGGTGACAGTGTCACATGTCAAATAGTGCATAACGGAAAACTCAGTGGAGTTTTCAGGTGACAAGGCTTCCTGTTATCACCAATGATATTTCTGATTGTGGTGGAATGTATTGTGCGGAAGACTATGGGGAGCGAGAAGACCGATAAGAAGACTCGAAAAGATCTGGATTTCGCGCGTGGATGATTTAAGTCTCATGTCACCTAAATTCGAAGACCCACAGGTGAAAACCAACAAGCTGGCAGAAGAAGCAGTAAAGACAGGACTTCGAGTGAACAAAGAGAAAACAGAAGTGATGAAGATAACCAACCAACCAACAAAACAACTAGCACCAGTCACAATCATTTATCTAGGAGACATCGTTTCAACTACAGGCAGTTGAGACAGACGAAGATGTTAAAGCCAGCAAGAATAAGAAAGACAAAACAGACATTCATCACTCTGAAATCAGCATAAAGAACAAGATTTGCATTTTCAACACAGATGTGAAGTCAGTCAATTCTTCTATATGGGTCAGAAATTCACAGTGCATGTCACCAAAAGCAATTCCAACAGGCTAACATAGACTTTTATCAACAGCTAAATTCCCTGGCTCCATACTGGAGATAAAAATGAACCAAGAACCTAATGGTCAACATATATATATATATGGAGGAAAATGGAGATGGATTAAGCATACACTGAGGAGACCGTTGGTTGTCGTCGCGTGCCAGGTCGTTGCTCATGTGGAAGGTGAATAGGAAATGACGAGTTGGGCGTAAATTGCAGTGTGACATGTAGGAGATCGGGTGTGGAGGAAGAGATGAGAGACTATGGGCATTTGTGAGGCTGGCTAAAAAAGACTTCAGAGAACAGAACAAAGTCGATGTGTTACTGAGACGCTATTTCACACTAGGATCTTAAGGGAATAATGATAATGTGAAAGAAAATATTAAGATAAGTAAACTTTCTCCACTGAATATTGTTATCAGTTTTTACCTTTGGAGGGATTATATAGACATTAAAGTTTGTGAAATGTCAACCAGGTTGCTGATATTCTACATAGATCTGTTGTCTAACACATATGCCTCAGTCTAAATCCTTAACATATTGTGATTGTATTTATTAGTGGTGCGTCGGTGGCACAGCAGTTGGGACGCTCACCGACTATGCACATGGTCCAGGATTCGATCCCCGGCCGACGCACTCCTTTACCTAGCTAAGCCAGTGATAGAACTGGCAAAGAGGGAAGGTTGGATATGAGGCTAGCAACCCCATCCCGTTAAAGTAAACACCACTGCTACCTAAACTTCGAGCCTCTAGATTGAAGCCCTATGTTCCACTGGGAACGTGAAGGAATAAAAAAAAGTTTATTAGTGAGTAACGGTGAATTCTGGTGTGGCTCACTGATCCCTTAAGGTATCATAAACAATCTAAGTGTAAATATATATAACACTGCCTCATATGTATTAGTTAACTTACCAACAAATTACGAATGTCGCAGTAACCTCATGAAAATCACCCTGATATTTAAAGAATATTAATGATAAAATATTAATGCGTACTAGTAGGTGAGAGTTAAATAAATGTTACTGGATCCTACGTTTTGATATTATCGCATCCAGTCGTGACATACGATTTAGTTTACGGAATTTGTCTCTATAACTGTAAACCATTGGTGCTTGAGTGACTAGCTACTTATATTTGGATTTAAATGATGTAGAAATAAGATGACTAACCGAGTGTTTCTGTTTGAAAAAACCGTCATGTATAACGGCGAAATTCATTGTAATAAATTCATATATATATATATATATATATATATATGTATATCGAGTAAACCACATAACATTAACTGAACTTGTCATTTCATTAGTTTTTGTTATGCAGCGTATATAATGAAACATTTGACATATAGAAGCGCACATCAGGAAAAGGTTGGAAGAATATATGAAAAAGAGATAGGTAATGAAAAGATAAAGTAACTTAGAAATACACTTTAGATAAAAATCGACTTCGATTAAATCGAATTTTGATTAGAATATGATGGTAGAGTTTAGTTATCGGACATAATCGACTTGATTGCTTTATGCGATTTGTTTTGTCAAAGTTAATTTTTCACATAATAACTAAAGTAAGAGAGTAGTGAATACACGATGTTAATAGTAATATGTTCAGTAATGGTTGAAAATATCAATTTATTTATGAATTAGTTATCTGATGTGTTTTTTTTTATAGTAGAAGCTTATGGATCTATTTTGCTGGTGTACTTCATAACTATTCTGCATCACCAACTCCACAGAGTTGTATTCGGGGCTAAAACATGAATTTAATCATTGTATTGACTGTTATCCACGTTTAATCAGTGGAATCATAGTCCCAAAGTTCAGCTTAACCCTGAAACTCCATATTATGGTAAATAGAGACTGTAGATAAACAAAATGTTAGACGATTCAAATACAATAGAATAAATGTATCCAAATACTAGTTTATTTATCATCCTGTGTATTTTGAATGACTCTGTTACATATCCTATACTATCATTTTGAATACGCTAATACTAAAAGAGGTACATTACTCAGTCTAATTTCTAAACCACATATTCCCCGGAATGCCTTGATGGCACAGCGGTAGAACACTCGTCGACCATGCGCATGGTCCGGGGTTCGATCCCCGGCCGACGCAACCCTTTACCTCGCTAAGCCAGGAATAATGCTGGTAAAGAGGAAAGGTTGGGCATGAGGCTAGCAACCCCATCCTGTAAAATAAACACTGCTACACAAACTTCAAGCCACCAGCTTGAAGCCCTATGTTCCACTGGGGAACGTGAAGGATAAAAAAATAATAATAATTAAAAATTGAAAACATCCCCGTCACCATCATTACATCAAACTATTCTATATGTGTTTTGATCCAATGGTAAATAATGACCCAGTGTTTGAATGGCAACCTGTTCACTGTCAGCAATGAACACGTCATAGTCACTTTATACTTAAGGGTCAAAAGTCTGTCCCCAGACATATAGTTTTGCTTTTATTGATTACTCTTTTAATTATGATATATATTAGCCTAGAGTAAGGCGTAACAAATTTAATGAATTTGTTACTAGTCTGTTTTGATTTATGAACGAAGTTTAATTCTGTTCATTTGATGACAAAATAAATTTCACCTTTAAGATTCACATGAATGAATTAATAAATCACAAGAACAATAAAATGGTGTATTAGTCATCAAAAACATGGGTTACACTCACACATACAAAGAGAGAAAAAGGTTAGTTAAATTAAAAATTCACTCTGAATATTTTTAAGAATTTTGAAGTGACTGTGAAAGCTTAACTGAGTAAGCGAGTGGAAGAGTTTGATTTAATAAACTTTTTTGTTTATAATATTCATTAGAAATTAATTTTATTTATCTGTCTATTTTTGAGTACTCTACACAATGTACGAGGTCAACTGAAAACCTTTATTCGTAATGTGTTCATACATAAATAATTTTAAAACAATTAGTCCCTTTGATAAATTTCAATAAGGCATCAAGAAGACAAATTTCGCGAGATGATATCATTTCGTAGTTTCTTTACAACCGCTTTACAACTAACATGATATCATCTCGCGAAATTTGTCTTCTTAATGCCATATTCAAATAAATAATTTTGTCAAGAAATAAAACAGCAACAACCTATAAACAGTTGCCTGAGACTTAACATTTACTTAAATTTGAGACTAGTTAGTAGAAATCCAGTTCAGAAAAGACTCTTTTACTTATCAAACAACAGATGATGATCATTCGCATAATCTATTTGTTTATACACTGAATTTGAAGTACTCGATATAGTTATGCAACAGACAACAAAAAGGAGTCGGCCTGTCAAACTGCAGTATTTAGTCATACAAACCTCACTCATCACTGACACTCCAGCCTTCTGATGAATGATTTTAAAAATAATCTTCAGTTTTGTATTACTTGCGGATTTAATATGTTAGCCATAATTTTACTGCCATACACGTAAATGAAAAAATGTCCAGAAATGAGAGGTAACAGGAGTGCTTTTGTACTGTATTCTACTGCACAGTATACAGATACTTTAGCTAAATTTATGATCACAAATTCTCAAATATAGGCGTAGAAATGGGATCATTAACATAACATTCACATAGGTATGTTATTTGGTCATATTTCTAATCTCCAGAGGAGATAGAGCTATTTGAATAATTCTGATTCAAAAGAGTTGGATCAGTGATTGTGATTATGTTTAGTATTCGACAGATATAGTTGTCTTATCCATAAATTTGCCATAAAAATAGTGGGTTAGTAAATATTCCTTGGCACCCCTGATTTGTCCACATAAGGTAAAAGCCAATATGAATACTTCACTGAACAGGATGCTAACAAAATAAGTATTTTGCTTTTCACTGTTATAAGATAATAATTTAGTGTTTATCAAAAAAGCTAAAGACAGTCATCGGTATAGAACTAATAAATATTTTCAAAGACGCTCTGAAGAAGTCACCAAGCTTACTGATGAAATTTTTGTATTCCTTACTCTCCGAGTGCAGCATAAGACTTCAAGCTTTGGTCTTTGAAATTCCAGTAGCGATGGTGCTGTTTTTAGAGGGTGGAGTTGCTAGCCTCACATCCAACCTCCTGTCTTTTCCGGGTTGACTGCTGGCATGTAAACTAGGCGAGGTTTGGAACCACTGACGCAATGATGAAATGCACATGATGACTAAATATTACAACTCAAACAACATTGAACAGTTTTCATCATTAACCTTAGTTACAAATCTTATGAGCTTTTTCTAGGGGCCAACTTCTACCTGATTAAAAAAAGGCCTAGAAAATACTACTTTAATTCATGAAAATAAAATTTAAATAATATTTTATAATTTACCTTGAAGCCTTCTTCGTCTAGAATGCTGGGTGGATGAAAATCTGTTATTAGGAAGTAAGCTAGACGATGATGAAATTCTTCACATGAAGAACAAAAATGAGATGGTGAATAGGCGTTGGTTAAACGCGGAGTAGAACACATGAAACATTCACTCATTTCTGATTTCAAACGGTGAAATTGGTTATTGTCATGTTGGTTGTCGGCAGCTTCACTTTTGGTAGAAACATTTGAAGTTGATATGTTGTGCCAGGGAATAAAGCTGAGCTGCTCTGATTTGGATTCCTAAATTTAAAAAAATAAATTATAATTACTCTTTTTCGTTGTCGACTGTAAAATAAAATAATGATATAAGAAACAGTTAAGTTAGTCAATGGATGATAGTCCTTAATGATTAACTGAGTTTCACCATGGAGCTTTGCACAGAAGTGCACCAGTTCAAGTTGCCACACTCTATGTAGCAGATAAAAGTAGACAAAGGAGAGAGATAAAGCGATTCAAAAGGACAATAATAAGCAGAAATGTGAGGAAGAAGTGAAAATCACATGACTGTTTAGTAGATATGAGAGATCACAAAGAGTGAATGCTTCTGCGACACTGAAAACAATTTGGAGCCACATCACCAATAGTTTCCCTCCATTGATTCTTAGCATCCTGAAGATCCCGACCAGGCAGCCTACATCTCCCTATGTGGCTCAAACTAACTATCACAGACTTTATGGACTGATGCCAGGTTTTGATTTGATCACCCCTGACTCTATTCCAAACTAATCCTATGTCAGCTAGTCTAGGTCGTGAAGGAAGGTGATGGCCGGGCATGCGCAATATGTTTCCTAGTCATCTCAGTCAGTGTAGCTAAATGTCTTCATTGTTCGACTTACTCTCTTTACTTAACTATCCATGCCTAATCTCATTATTACTCACCAACGTCCTTAGTACTGAAAGGTGTACGTCTATCAGGTATTCAATATGGCTATTACGTTAACTAGTGTAAAAATGTTATGTAACAGAACATAAACAGACCATCAACGGAAGTTACTGTCTCTGTCTCATTCTCTGGATACGATTATTTTCACCATGCGAGCAGAAAGTACCCAGTCGAATTTTACAAGCCATCTAACTTTCCGGTTGTCAGGAATTTCGGTAGTAAGACAGTGTTTTACATATCGTTCACTAGGTAACATCAGCCTCTTTAAAAAAACCCACCACTATTTGATGTGAGTGGTTTCCAGCTACTCACATCAATAAGTAGTGTAAATATCGTTCTATTTTGTTTGCTTTCTTGATTGCTAATCATGGTGTCAAACAGATCATGTATTACGATCTGAATATTTCTGGTCAGCAAAGAAAACTGGGATGAATTCTTACTTAGAAATGTGCAATTTTCAAATGATAAATTCCAGTATTCATTCCTTCTTTAAGAACTCTAGAATAAGAATTCCAACGAAATGCAACACAACATAGCATGTGACAAGAACTGTGGGAAGTCTGAATAAAGCAAGAACAACAGTTTGTGCAGAATAAAATAATACCATCGTTTATTTTGTTGGTTTCTCATCAGCTGCTTACAGCCTAAAGATATTATTAAATTGATGATGGTAGCATCTTATTCTGCACAAATTGTTGTTCTTGCTTAATTCATATTCATAAAGGGGAATCAGTGTATGCAGTTTATGGGAAATCTGTTTACTGATTGTCTCTTTACTATTTTAGTACATGTACAACATAATACATAGAAGCTCAAATCATATAAAACAATCACTTAATTTACTCTCGTAAGCAGATTAACTTGCCTCATCCACCTCAGTTGTACTATGCAACGAGTATTACTTGATATGAAAGCTGTGTGTTTGTTATCAAGTCGTGATTCACAGAAAGCCGCAGTTCTGAAGGAAGTGTTTAATTCACTAGCTCTATCCTGAAAGCGATAACTCGCTAGTTTGCAATATATTATATAGAATGAGGTGTCACTTTTCGAAATCGAAATCAAATCACATTGTTTGTGTTAGTAAGCATTCACAAATATGCATTGCTTCTATGGCATAGTTTTTCGTTACGATAACCTCAAATATAGTCAGAGCTTCGGGTATAGATCTTCGGCATTCACACCTGTCATATGTTACTTTAACGTGTGTATATATGTCAAGTGAATATCTGTTAAACGCTCTCCCTTTAGAAGTATGGCAAAATCTTATTAAATGCCCTACATAGAAAATTTTACGCTCTCACACATTTCGATTAACAATTTTATCTATACTGTACTCTAATACATTCAGTCTAGTTAACTTCAAAGCTGATTTATAGAGTGCAGACAGAATTGGTAACATTAATGTATAAATACGACAAAAACCTTCACAATATCTAAAATACTACACCGATAAAGCTAAAATTGATTATCTTACAAGTCCGCAATTTGTTTGGCCTAACGCTTCATTGGAAAAGTATATCAGAGGGTGGATGTGACAATAGGCACGTATCAATTCAGTTTGGTAAAATTAACTTTGGTAAATTTCAAGGGGAAAGCATAAACCAAATGTACATTAATGTACATCTCTACATTCGTTTCGATTGGATAAGTCTAGTGACAAATTCAAGCCTTACACTACATTATTGCTATTTTCTATTTATTTTTTTTGTTTGTAGAATGCAACTGCACTAAAATCAACCCCCTGAGCTATGAATCTCGATCATTTCTATACGATACAACCTCAATGGCTAACCAGCTTTGCTTTGCATCTGAATCGCTAAACAATAACATCACATTTATAGCAGAAGCAGAAATAACTGTTAGAATTTAGTAATTAAAATATGTTCAAAAAGAACAGCGGTGTTTATTAACTGCTGAATCAACATTTTACGGAAGGGTATATGATGGACGGCAACTTCTGAAACTAAATCATTGCATGGAATCAATGCACATGTGACAACAGCCTAAAATAGACAGAACAACTCTGAAAATGGAGAACTGTACCATGCAGGGTAATCCACCCAACTGTTATGATGCCTGCTGCTATGTTTATATTCTAAACTTAACTGATTATTCAGTATCTTGAAATAGTATGGCACTCTGTCAACAAAAGAAGCCTTGTTAACTTCCTTGTGATAACTTGTATGCATACAGATACGAAGAGGAGTTGTATATTATTTCTGTATATGTCTTCTCTAATGTTTATATCCAGCTGATTAACCCTGAACAGGTAGAACAAAACCATTCAGCTACTCAAACTGTAAGTGATTACGGCAACATAAATATCCTGTAAAATTTGATTCAGTAGTCAAATCAACTAACAACAGGTTACCTGGAGTGCTCTGTCTAAATCATTTGTGCAATGCACTGTAAATTTATACTTTTACGATGCATCAAACATTATAAATACTGACGATGAGTACCAAACTAGGCTGACGAAACAGCCGTCCAGTACTCTTTGGTTTCCAATGGTTCTCTAACTGATATCAATCCGTGATCAAATGTGAAACAAAACAGTAAGTAAAGATATCTGATTAATTCTCATACACGGCTTCCATTCTTGGATGACAATCGAAAAAATATCAGATTATGATACCTGATTTAGGTATTTCTTAAAAATATGTTATTTATGTCATTCCTTTTTATTATGGCGTGAGGTTTGGCCTATATTCATAGAAAAGTTTGAGATAATTAGGTGTACTAATCAAGTGGATAAATTAGGTCATTTCAGGTTACTCAACGCACAGTAAACAAATATTATAAGATTAAAGAAGATGCAACAGTATGCAGAATTAAAAAGAATTTGTAATAAATTTCACAAGATGTAAAGAAATTAACCTCGACATTCAAAGCCTACATATCCTAGTTGCTATATATCTTTAGAATGATTATTTGGATGAATCTTACTTTTTTTATGCACCTGAGTAGATGCTTTCTGCGCAGAAAATAAAATCACTATTCAATAGTGAGAACAGAATTCGCTAATATCTGGCAATTGCCTGAAGTTCTAGTGAGAATTTGTGGCCAGTACAGTCTAAATACTCACTGGTGGCATTGTACGGTTGTCACGCTAAAATCACTAACTGGCAGAAGTTGACCATTGATTCAGGTCGCAGTGGCTGAATGGTCTTAGGTCTGAACCCCTGGGGGTGCGCACCAATGAAGAGTCCCAAGCTACGGCGAAACAACTATCCAGTACTCCTTGGTTTTCAATGGTTCCCTAACTGATGTCAGTTCATGATCAAACTTGAGACAGATCATAATTCCGCATGAATTTATAAGTGGATTAAAATAATCAGTGGATCAATAATCTTATGAAGTCTACGCTTATAAGAAAATCAAGTGAGATATTTTCCCTCAGATAAGACCACAGGAGCTTACTAAATGCTCCAAACTAAGCTCTCCTCATATCTCTAAATAGTTTAATCGGTTCCTGTAAATTATTTGATTAGCTTACAATAAAAAGGAATAAAGCCGTTTATTCGGAAAGTTAATTCCATTCCTTATGAAAAGTAACAATATTATTTACTTTCATTTGCTAAAATGTTAACTTTTTAAATCCTTAACTTCAAAAGTCAATATGAGATATTGTTTTAACTACTAAGAAAGTGTTTGTATACATGAAATTCTCTACGCTTTTAAATTTATGCACATAAAATTTATAAAGAAGAAATTAACTGAAATTAATAAGAAGAATCACTTGCATTATGCTGTGTCTCTGAACTTGCGCAGCCTCTTTGATTAACAGGATTTTCACTCATCGATAATAAACAGTCTGAAATTTGTTTCGGAGATTTTTGATAGAAGTCTTCATTTGGAGCAAATTCTGCAGATGCTGAACTGCCATTTTCGTCTGTAGTACTGTTATCATAGCCATCCATTATAGATGGCGACTTTTTATTACACGATGTAATATACAAATTTTCTATCATTTTTTCTTGTTGCTGACATTGCTGTCTGTATGTATTGAAGCTTAGATCAAGTGGTTCGTTCATATCCATTGTATTAAACATTGCAGATACTGGTTGACTAGACTTTATAGAAAGATCTGTTAATGGATATGATGAGTTATTCGAATATTTGCTATTCATAATTGTCTTTAATCGGTCGTTTTGTAATTCATTTTCATTCACAGTAACTTTTTGTTTAAATGTATCATTTGAGGATAATTCTAACGGGGTGGTAAAATCATTCATTGAAGATTTATGAGAGCATGAATTTAAGTTTTCATTAGTATTGACTGGAATTGATGACTGATAGTTAACTTGTTTGTAAAGTTCAGTCAAGTATAAATTAGCTAATTCTGATAGATTCAATTGCATATTCGAAAAGTTGTACGTTAACGATGAAAGATAATTTGTAAATAATTCAGAAAATAATCCTTTATCTGAATTCGATGAATTAGGCAGTGGATTATGTAAACTAAAATTGCCTAGTCCTGAAGTGAATGTGGTTGATACTGGCATGTGTGTACGCATTGCTTCATTGGGTGGTGTTGATTCACTATTCACCATTTCTGGCAATGTTGTATTTATTAACTTTGGATTATTCAATGTGGAAAATTCATTTGAAACTGTCCAGAAGAGATCTGGTGAATATATGCACTATTCAGGATAAAGAAAGAAAGAAAATTTATCCAGATTTCAGCTTTATGACTGATTAAAATTGATTACAATAATATGAGCAGATGAATGCATCAGTGTAAATTTGCTACCTCGTTGTTCTAAAACACGCTTAAATTGCCAACTAGTAAAATTCATAACATAACTTTGATTATTTTTGATAGCTGTTACCTCTTCTATTAAAAATTCAAATGTTTACTAGCACAGAAGTGACAATGTTGAAGTTAGCATCCATTCTTACCTGCTGCACAACAGGTGAGTATCATGGCTTAGTAGCCTAATGGATAACAGCCTTGGAGCCTGAAACGATGGATATTGAGTCCCGGTCTCAGTGAGGACACCATCCAGCAGGAGAGTCCTAAATGTGATGAAAAGTACATCCCGGACTCCAAAGCTAACCACCACCAATCAGGTAATAAAAAAAGTTGTGGTTGTAAATATGTGTAGCTGATCATGCAGATGTTTCAATGACCATGCATTCTCTGCTAAAATGTGGACAGAACTTCTAAATTATTTATATTGATTAAATTACACCTATCCGTTATGTAATTCTGGTTATATTAACTCGTATCCAACAACTGAATTTTGCCGAGATTAATAAATTCCTCTACGAAATATATTTTAAACACTGAAGTAGTATTGTATTCGTTTGATAAGAGTTATAATAAGTGTATACAGTAACGTATATTCTAAGTCAACGCTAGAGAATTGAGATGAATCACTACCCCTAGTGTTTAGGTTTAATTGTTCTAAGACAAAAGACTAATTAGAAGTAATCATCTGAAGTTAAAGAAATAAACAGCATGAACTTTAAATAATACCTACCTACCTGATCAATAAAAACTACATAACTCAATGATATATTTAATAGACAGTTCATCGTTGGGTGTTCCAAATAGTGAGGTTTTAAGGTAACTGTAGAAAAGCCAATTTGTAATTGCTTTCTATAGAGAATGTTCTCATTTTTTAAGTATTAGGTTAAAACATTATATACATTAGAAAACATTACATCTGAGTGACTATAGGATTTCAGTGCTAATGTGAAATAAGTTCTTATATATAGTTCAGACACTTGATCCTTCACCAAAAGCATTTCTAACAGACAGTGAACTTTTATCAACAGATGCTTCGATACCGAAGATTAGATGGCAAGAAAGGACAAGCAACAAGGAACTCTGTAATGAGCTAACTAAGAACCTACCATCCAATAGATATGCCCAATGAAATGGGGATGGATCGAACACACTCTAATAAGACTGTCGAGTGACATGACGTGTCAGGCTCTCGAGTGGAACACGAGTGGGAAACTACAAGTTGTATGTGGGTTCGAGAGTGAAATGGGCATGGGAGCTTATGGGCGATTGTGGAGCCAGATGAAGAGCACTGCAGAGAATAGGATGAAATAGAGATGTGCTGTTGAAGCCATGTATTCCACTCGGAATCCAAGAGAATAATAATATTATAAACATGTGAAAAGTTTTAGAGAGTAAACATTTTTCCAGAGGAAAAGACATTACTAAGATTATAGGTTTCCAGGCCGTAGGTGTTACTAACTTCCTGAAATCTGCTGAAGAAGCTGTGGCTTACACAGCGAAACGTTCAGAAAAATCTTGTTTTGATTTTCTTAACACGCTGGGATTAATTTAAATAATTTATAATGAAAAGACATTACTGTTTAAAAGCCAGTTATCCGTATCATATACACTCATCAAAATTCTCTCAGTTTCATCATATATGAACTGTGAACAAACAGATTCTGAGTTTTGTAAGGATTTCTATCAATTTCAATAAATAATTAGCAGAGGTTACAGTTCGGGTTTGAGTGAACTTCATTCAAGTGACTGAGCGGTCAACAAACTCTCCTCGTAACATGAAAGTCTTGTATTCGATTCCTGGTAGACTGATTAATGAGTACTGCTAGAGTCCCGAACTTGGACGAAACATCTGTTTCGATCAGTATACAGAATTTAGGATTATGGTATTGATCAGAAATAATCATCTGTAACTTTTAGGTCAGCAGTGTAGGGGCGAGGCAGTTAGAATCACTGAAGTTTATCCCTTAAGGTGAGAGATGTTTTGTTGAACAGGTCAACATGCCAAGCTTTCTTGGGCTTATTCCTACATATTTAAGATAATTTAAAGTGTTCTGCAACCTGTCGTTTGATGGATTCAAGGTAGGCCTAAGAGTTTTAAGGAATTCAGAGTTAATGGGAGTGTCATTCGATATTCGGTAAAGGTGATGCATATTTACCAATCTATAATCAACTGGGTATTCAGTTACTTCTTTCAGATAATGATTTAAAAGGGAATTAAAGTTATCGAACTATTACTGTAACCTATTTCAAATATTTGTGAATTAATCACACCAACTTAGACCTTGGTTTTACACTATAAAAGTCATTTAGGAATACTTGAAAGTCTGATATCTAGCTTCCAAGCTCCATAAATTAAGTCAGCTAATCTACGCCAAAATATAAAGTAATCTGATTTCGGCCAGTCAATAGACATCAAAATAAACATACGCATCAGTAAATGGCTACCTTATAGTTCATACAAAAAGCAATAACAATGTAAATTTTCTCTCACACCTATATCATTTAAAGAATGACTGGGAACCAGGGTCAGCTGTTGCATTCTACTCTGGGACTCTTCTACAGTACGTACATCGTACAACTCAAGCAAGAAAGAAAACACTGTCCAATACTCACTGATTTCTAATGGTTGTCTAACTTATGTCGGTTTGTGGCGCAATATATCTTGAAATCAATAGAACTTGTTCAGACCGAGTGCATGAAAATAAACCGATTAACATTTTTTTATGTTATTTTATTATTTGTTAAGGGACTGTCCTGGCTAAATTCAATTGAAATTAAAACATTAGAATAAGTTGTATTAAGAATTAATCATATCCCGCTTAAAGTAGGGAAATATCGTAATTAAGTCATTTCTGGTCACTTTATTACACAATGATAAATTGCTTAAAAGTGCACAAACCACTGTTCAACCAAATCAAACAATCTTAGATGGAAATAAGTTATGCATGTATAATAACGGCTAATTACGATTTACAAAACTCACCTTATCATTGACTAAATTAAACGATGAGTTTGATGTACATGCTTCCATTTGGTCAGCAGACAAATGACACAAAGGTACATCATTATTAATAGTAGAATTATGAAGTTTAGTCATAGAATTTAAACTATCATTCATATTTTGACTTAATTTACTATTAGTGATGGAATAATCAAGATGTCTACACGAACCAGGAGGTCGTCCACGTTGACCACGTCTTGTTGATAAGAAAGGATAATTACGCTTACACAATGGGGATGATGAAGTTGTGATAATTGGTGCTGCAGATGACACTGACCAATTGACCAATTTCTTCTCATCATTCAGTAAATTGTAATTCACTTTAGTCATTTTATTGATTTCACGTAATGTTAACAGACCGCAACGAGATTTTTTTGATTGTTGATATTCTTGCTGAACTATTTCACTGTGTCGACTTTTTAAATGATTTAACATTGTTGTTGTTGTACCAGAATTGTTGAATGCCAACAGACTATCACAAAGAATACACTGAGTATGCGTTAAATCTTTTGTACCCATATGTAATTCTGGATGGAAAAAATACTTCCATACAAATGATTTCTTAGTGCCAGTACGACTACCCCAATTCCCTGAACGTCGGGTAGAATTACGCCAAAAGTTGAATATTGGATTCAGAGTGTTATTACGCTGACAGTCTGTATTCATGTTCATCTCGGTAGGATTGTTGTTAATAGTGTTGTGGCTGCTGCAGGAATCGGTAGTGGCAGTTGCTTTATTTGAAGGAGTCGAAGCAACTGTAGGAGTAGTAGAAGTCGTATTAAAAATATGTTTTTTAGTGTCAGTATCTGCTACTTCTGCTCGTGAAGTTAGTGCATCAAGTGTATCACAGATACTGTGATTTGCTCTATTTCCGTCATAAGTGTAGTTGAAATTCATATCTTTCACATAAATCTGTGTTGAGAATCCATCACCTGTACATTTTTATTCAATTCTTCTTCAATTTCTATTGGATCGGTACTCGAAAATTTTCGAAAATTGTGTGGTAGAAAAATTTCAACCACCGGATAGGTGTAACTTTTCATTTAAAAAATGTATCTGTTTGGTGAACGAGGGGGAAGGAGTTTAGCGAAACGAATTAATTTCTGTCTACCCCTATTATGTTATTATGTTAGTGTTATACGTTTGTGATTGGTTAAAATTAATATCGTTGTCAAGCTGACCAATCGTCGACAAGATTTAGTGTATAGCATGTAAATGTATTGAAAATTATTTTTCAAGCAAAATATAACTTTATCACATGATTATAAAGGCTTAGTGTGGTTGAATTAGGAAACATGAAATTTTCAAATCTTGCTTATCATGCAGTCTGGTAGCCTGAACGTCTTAAATGACCACTTCTCATAACCGTCTATTTAAATACTATACTCCATTATGGATTAGATTTTGTTTTGATAAATCACACAGTGTTGTACAGTTAATATTACTGTAATACTAACTGTACAACACTTTGTGATTTCAGTAAATTGATTTTATTTATTTTTTTTTTTGATTACAGCTTGATTCCACACCGTATTTTTGGTACAAGTATGGAATTTTCAGCATGTGATATCGGTAGCCCAAATTTTGCAGGCCGACAATTGATATCAGGTGTGTGTTGGCAGGCGATCGAACCCCGGACCATGTGCATGGTTGGCGAGAGTCCTAACCACTGTGCCACCGACGCACATAATTTACTCAGAACAAAATATTGACAGCGAACAATTGTTTTCAATTGCTATTAGTATATATACTGGCTACTGTATGCTTAAATTAATGTATTTATAATTGTAGAGCCTGAAGAAGAATTTAATGAAAACTGTGTGATTTAACAAAATGAAATCTTATCCATAATGGAGTTATGCTCTACCACAGTGCCCAAGTTTCATACTCATTGTTTGTATTTCAGCCACATAGGTGCCCGTTCAGTCGGAATCCAACGATCCACGAATTCTAACTCCTGTCAGCTGGCGATTTTAATACTGAGATCAGAAAAAGACGATATTACATTTTTTTGAATTCATCACATATCAATCAGTAATGTATACCATCATGCGATTGTACTTGTTCTTTTGATTGTGGACTGCATACATATTTGGTTTCCAAAAGGAAACCACGATGGATATTCACCTCTAATTGTATAATTTGGAAATGAGCAATTTAATTGTATGTATTACTATTTAACTCAAGTAGCTAGCTAGAATTCGAGTCATCTGAAGTGATTCAGTCCCCTAAGCAGAGCCATATTGAGTACAGTACAGAAGCAGTTACCCATGTTTTAAATTACTTGGATATGGCCAGCCATTACTACTATCTAACGTGAGTGGTTTCTAATTACAATGTCAGTCGATAGTATATATCACTATACAGTTATATTGTTCTTGACTGAATAAAAGTGCCGGCTAACACTGCTGGTTACATCAAAGTTAATAATTTTAGTTTTGTGATGATGTAAAGCGAAGGTCTTGTCCGCGAACCGATGAATTCGACTGAGCTGAAAGTCAGTCACCAGAAAAGTAGTCGAACTAGTACCCTTTATTATCACCAATAGACTTATCTAGCAACTCGAAGAGATGGTACAAAGATTTTGTTTCCTTATAAATCCGAAGGTAATTTGAAGCTCACTCCATGGAGCACCACTTGACTTTTAGGAGTTCAAATCAACTGTACTTTCACAGATAGCAGTCATTGGATTAATGTGGACAACTGTCCTGACAAATCACTACTGTTTCCTCAAGTGTATGGCAGAGATAAATGAATTGGGAAGTATTTGAAAACGAGAAATAATATAATCTGACCAAGTTTGATTTAACACCACCTGCTCAATACAAACGTCTGTCAGATGATATTTACAAGCAAATACAATAAAGCGCTTGATAAAATACATCATGATATCAAGAAACTGTGAATCTTTTACTTTGTAACTTGCTGTTTACTTCAATTCATGATATATCCAATGTTTCATCTCCAAATAACCGTTGAATTTTGTTTCACGAAAATCTTTTGAGTTTTTAAGAAAAAGTTTGATGTCAATATCTAAAAAAATATTAATTATATTATTAAATGGATGTAAGCAGAGATCCATGACGCTACTTATAACCCACCTTACTGGGATGTGCTACTCTTTGAAAACAGGTTGCTTAATTAATATGTACTTTATTTTATATAACAATAGGACTACTATTCCATAACATTGACACATGAAAAATTTATTAAGGAATTCAAACGCTTTATTTCTATATGAAACGACAAATACTGGTTTCTCTGTATATATATATATATATATATATACATATGTATATATATATATATATATATAATTTTTACATGAAATTATTAGAAACCAAAATCAAGTTGTGTTATAAGTTGGATTACTTTTAAAACGTTATTAATGAGTATTCTGATTAGAGTTTCAAAGATGAATGCCTCCATTTTAAGCTTGGAACAGAAACCGACTACTGCTCAACACTTCCTGATTTCTGCAGACTGATCAACTGATATTAGAGCATAACGGAAACTGTTTCCTGAATGATGGTGAGTCCTGCTTTTCTTAACCTTTAATCGCCCATATTCATAAAACAGGAATCAGCCCTAGTTTAACACTTTAGAGTAAATCTTCATGACCTCAGGAAATGAAGATGTTTCTGTTCTATTGCAATCGGGACACTGTGAAAGATAATAAAAATAAATAAACTACAACCCCTTTAAAAAAAGATAATAATGAGACCACTATAAGAGCAATTCAAATCGCACCAAATATTTCCGGTTTATATGGTAATCACTCAAGTAAATTCGTACGATTTTGTATGATGTATATGGGTAGCAGGAATAAGCCATACACTTTTCATTCTTTAAGGTCAATCTATACTACTAAACTTTTGTTGTAAAATATTATTTGAGAGTTAACTGACAGCAGTGAATGTGTAAAACAGGAATTCTAAAAGAGAAAAGAGAGGGATCATATGGAAAGGAATAAACAAAAATGAGTAAATAAAACTGCACATTACCTGTTTTTATCTCAAAAATCATAGATTATACATTCCATCACTAGTCACAAGCAGCCGGAAGAAAGTGGAGGAGAGTTGTCTCACTCAGTAACATGAATGTGTAACTTTTGAAATCTATGTATCATTATTAGCGGACTACGTTATTATAATAATAATTATTATTATAGAAAGACTGGAAAATCCCTCCTGAACGATATAATTACAATACATAAACTTATTTGGACGTTTCAGCTAACTTTGTCATTATTATTATTATTATCATCCGATTTTCTCCTAGACTGTATATCATTACTTTGACAGATACATATATCACACATTTGATTTGATCTTTACAGTTTGTCTTTTCCCCTCTTTAATCTCTAATTTTAATGTCTCTGTTTGTGGTTGTGTGTACATTGATAATGTGTTGTACAGTGTGCTTTTGTTTGAGTGAATCAAGGTCACTCTGACCTTGGACTGTCTGAGGAAAGCGTTGGTGTGTGATTCTTGTGGACAGAAATTTTGATTCCGCTTTTTGGGAATATTCCACTTCATTCTAAGGTGCTTCTTACAGTTGAACAGTTAACTAATTTTGTCCTACAGTACTTGTTTTATACCTAAAATGTTACCCTGTCTGTATACCTGCCTAACAGCACTATTGAGGTTATTGGTGTTGTTGTTATTGGTGTATAGAACCACAGATTTATCGAAGAATAATCCTCTTTTTGCTGTCATTCGAGCGATGTGATTGTGTGTCTGTCAAGGAAGTTTCAGACAGATATACAGTAGAACGCAAAGTTCGGTTCCCTACATTCAGACGACAGCAAATCAGTTTTGGTTGCTATAGATATTATCGTTATTATTACTGTTATTCATCTTGGCGTTCCGAATGGAAAACAGGGCTTCAGAGGAACATCTTTATTTCACTCGGCTCCTTGATATCACCTTCAGCTAGCCCCATAAATACTCACAGTCTTTCATTTCCTCTTCATATTATCTCTTCTATGTCATACACAGAATCATGACCAGCCCGTCATGTAATTTGCACTAACTATAGCAGTTCAAGTTGACACAATTTAAAAAAGCACACATAAAAGTAGGGAAAATAAAGGTAGTAAGATTACAGTGGACATAAACATACAGTAGAAAGAATATTTGAGTGACGATTACTGAGTACTTTGAGAGTATAAACCACACTAAGAGGTTAATACATCCGTACTGCCGAGAACGTAATACATGCCCTATTAATCTCAATCGACACAGCTTAACAGCCTTATCGATTGGCTTACAATCATTACCTGACACTGTACGCTTAACCTCTTTATTAATGATAATATTGTGTCATTTAACACGAAAAAAGTGAACACAGGAAACATATGGTCATAAACGACTAGCCTCCTCCTATCTCCCATTTTCAGTGTCCATGTCTCACAGACGAAAAGAATGGCATTGTGAAGTGCTGCGCAGTACACACGTCCTTGTATAGATAGTTGTATAGCACACTGGTTCCAAAACAGAAACAAGAATTTTCAATTATTGGTTTTGTAGGGATTTTGTTTGACTGATTCTTTGGAGGATTTCATCATTAGCTGACATCAGTTAGAGAAACATTGGAAAACCAACAGGGAGTACTGGACAGTTGTTTCGCCCCAGTTCGTGACTCTTCATCAGTACGCACCCACACATCGCGCGACTCACCGAAGAAGACAGTGAGAAGTTGTCACGCTGTCATGAATTGGCAGAAGTTAGAATTCATGGGCTGGGTATTGGATTGGGGGTGCATACTGCTGAAGAGTCCAAAACTAGGACGGAACAGCTGTCTGGTACTCCCTGCTGGTTTTCCAGTGGTTCTCTCACTGACGTCAGCTTATGATGAAATCCTCCAACCAAAGAAAAAAGAATTCACTATTATGTATCAAAATCAATATGATTTCGAGTGTTTTATTACACTTAATTTATAAGATTATTGATTATATGGGATATTTCAAATGTGCTCATCTTAAATTTAGATTTGAATCTAGATAATCTGTTACAAAAATAGGATTTACCACCGTATGTTAGTGAGTATCTATGAAAAG